CGAAAACGAGGTATGTTTACATCGCTGATGTAACTCAAAGCAGAAGGATAAGTTGCGATGGTGAAATGTGATTGAATATTTTTTATGAAATTCGTGTTTATTTGTGCTTTATTCATGACATTAATGACAAGCAAAACTTTTTTTAGTTGTGAGAGAATGTTGGAAGTTTGTCGACCCGATTTGTGCTCTTTAATAAGAGGAAGCCGCCTTCTTAGGGAGTTATTATTTTTCTGACAACTTATCATGTCCATCCTTCTTCTCCTCCTTCTCCCTCTTGCCCGACTTTCGTCTCTAGTCCATCATGCTAACTAAGCCACACTCCAAGCATAAATAATGTGCTTTGACAACGGCTTTGCCAAGTGTGGCCCTTTTGGACGAAATACTTTTTCTACTTCATTCTGACTGTGAAATTCAGAGGCTGTAAGTTGTGCATGTTGTTGCAATGTCGAGCAACTTAGCTGTTCACTATTTCCGGATTTCCAATGCAAGTGACAAATCCCAGGCTAAAATACATTTTGAAGGAAGACAAAACTGTCAGCAGATTTGTTCTTTAACCCCCAGTTATTCCTTTCCAATTATGTATATCCGTTTCGATAAATAAATACAACTATTTGGCAGTCCTCCGTCAATCGCAAATGGAAAGTACAAGTCAACTTAATCGACAAGGGGATGACGAACCCGGTAGACGAGTGAAAAACAATACCAGAGCAGGCCTTTCTTGTGTGGGGTGGGCCAATTCAGCACTCCAAAGTGATCTTTTAACTTCGCCCAGTGGGGAGAGCAGTGAAACCTTCCAAGAATCGGATTCCTCGGGTGGAAGTTGCCAAACAAACGTTTTCCCTTCCGTCAGGAAAGGAACCGCTCCTCCAAACGTCCTTCTGGCTTCGGTACTCAATGAACAAATGAGACGACCCACCAAGCCACCACAAACACTCGAAGAAGCACAGTATGTTGCCCATCACTTATTCCATCGCGAATTTCTGCCGCTAACTTCAAGAGCTCAGAATTATTTGTTCGCTACATTTCACTTCTAGACTTTTCAGCATTCACGGTGACATTTTGCTTTAAGGGTTGCATTGGTACTTTAAGTTATTACCATTACCACTGCCAATATACGCCTTGGTAACTTCCAGTGTGAATGTTGTGGTCTACTTCAAACATTGTACCGACTTATTTTTCCACACACTCTAAGTCAAAGTAATTATGACCTTTTGGGTTAGACACCGCATAGCCTACATGGAGAATCAGTTGACCCAACTGACGGCTTGGGTTCGAGCAGTGCAAGCGCAGAGTGGGTCCGACGGCGAATCCGGCGCGCCCACTGGACCTTCAGGTTAGTCCCCATCCAAGTGCTCTACCTCAGCCTTAGCTAGTAAAAATCGGAGGCCTTTTAGGATTATTAAAATTACCCACAAGACCGTTGGAAAAAAGGGATAGGGCTTGCTTGCCTATTACAATAGTGACAAGTATTGGCATTTTATTTCTCCTATTCCTCTTAATGTTTCTTTTTTTCATAATCCTGTCTTTTAGTCATTTCCATCCTTCTCGTTGGCTCACCCATAAGTACTTTTAAAAGCAAATCAGCGTACCTCCTTATCATAATTCATCCTTAAAATCTTGTATTCTAATGCATTCGACTCGTTAGCATTTTTCATTTCTGCTTAAATGCGTAACAGCAATAATTGATGTTGTATTCACCATTATTTTAGCAACGTGAGTCCAGACTTGCAGTGAAGGCCTTAGCAAATGGAGTTACATAGGAGTATTGTGGGGGTGTTTCGAGTGGCTATCACTTCACCCGATGGTGACTAACTTCTACATTTTGCAAATTCAAAAATTGGACCTCTAAACCCGAATGAGAATAGTATTTCGTGGCAATGCTAGACAAGTTGCGTTCTTTCCTTATAATAGTAAAGGACATTGACGCAGCCGTGGTGGAAAACAAACATCCCTTTGCCCACTGTTACAGTGGCTATGAAAGGTGTCCCAATCCTCTTTTGTCTCCTCATCCGCATCAGTCAAATCGTCAGCGCCTTCTAAATGCCTATAAGGAGCTGAAAGACCTCCGC